TTTCGGGGCATTCGAGCCCCGAAATCTCGGGCCCTCAAGCAGCGCCGATACAATATTGCTTCTTGTGATGTATTATATTAAATATTATAAAGGGCAAATTACATATACACCCCTCGAGGTTTGGCTAAATTACAGATACCCCTGAGGTTTTGGAAATTACATCCCGCAACCTGAGGTTTGTATTTTCATAACAATTTGCCCCCTGAGGTTTATATTTCATAACAAATTACCCCCTAATTTCTTATGCAAATATAGCATTCAGGGGGGAATTCGTAATTTCTCAAACCTCAGGGGGCATCTGTAATTTAGCCAAACCTCGAGGGGTGTATATGTAATTTGCCCTATTATAAAAGACAATAATATATATATATATTTATATATCGGTTGTGTTAGATGTATCAATTAATATATATACTAGTGTACCAACTAGTGTTATGTGATTATTACTGCGGTAGTGATACATATACCAATTAACATGCATATTAGTGTACCAACTAGTGTTATGCCATTATTACTAACCCCATCTATTATATAAATAACAAATATCTAAAATCTCAAAAATTATACCACATCATTTGTTAGTATACTAATTAGTACATTATTAATATATATAACATAATCTTTTTATATATTATTATTTTATTATGGTAGACAATAGTGTAGTTAATTTAGTTGGGGACAGACTAGTGATGCATGCGAGGAGGACCTCCTCGTATCATTATCCTAGGATTCTTTTATTTTTCATTTTTCATTCTTTCATGTAATGATGGCAGCCCTAGACCCCAAGAAAAACATGTTTTTATCATATTACATACAGTGTCGCATCGATTCTTTATCTTATTTTTCTCTTGTTTATATATTCTTTTTATCTCTAATTTGCATAAAAAAAGAGATTTGAGATAGGAAGAAAGGATAATCCAAATAAAAAATTCAATCTTCTATTGACCGCAGTTTTAATTAGACCGAGCTAGCTTTTACAAAAGTTGCTATTATTTAAATAAATCAATACATCTAGAATTTCACTTATTAAGTACAATATTATGAACTCCTACCCTACTTTGTACAAAGGATTAAAAATAAATATTGAAGTACAAATAGTGATATGCAAAGGATATTCGTAGAAAGAAAGACACAATTAGTCGAGATAATTCAAAAGAAGATAAATGTCTATCAATTCTGGATTGTCATGAAATAAGAATCCATGATCAACCACCATGTTTTAATTTACAATGATCAACTGTCTTTTCTTCACTTTCAAAGAGTACTATTTTCATGACAAAAAATTCTAATGCAACGGTGATGCCATGCTATTGGTATTACTATTTGTTAGGTTTTTATTCTTGGCAATTTCGTTTGACAAAATTTCTTTTAATTGTAATTTTATTTGTTCTTTTATTTCAGTGAGGCTAAAAGTTTTAGATGCAAATCCAACCTAAATTGTGCCTTGCAGAAAAGTTTGTGATGTTTATTCTTTCATGTTTGCCAACAACCATTCCTGCATTCGAGCGGAAATCGCGACCTTCTAGAAGTTTCACTCGCCTGCAAAAGTATTGGGAGTTGTTTTTTTCTGCTCGAGCGGCCATTGTTGCGCTCGAGCGGAGATCACAGATCTATTTTCTATAAATATGTGTTTCAATCCGATTTTAGGGTACGGTTTCTAGATTTTCTTTTTGGATATTAGGGTTTCATCTGGAGCTTCTTTGCTTGTTTCATTTGATATCTATGAGAGATTAATCATGAATTGAGTGGATTATATCAAAGGGTTTGTTTGTTTTATTTATTCAATACAAAAAAGAGAGTTGTTTTTAGGTGGATTCCGGAGAATTTGGGCCAAAAGCTTTGATGGATTCTGGAATGGCTCATCGTCATGGATTCGACATCGACATTGTGGGTTCAACGTTAGGCAAGACAATTCCGAGATGTAGACCATGGTGGAAGAGGCATATAGGGGTCGGTTTAATTCAAGTGTGGATTCTCTAGGTAATTGAAGTACACTTGTGTAATTCCTTTTGTCTTCTTAGTGGATTATTTTGTGGCTTTGGCTCGTGGTTTTTTATCACAATTAGAGGCGCTCCGATTGTGATTTTTCCATGTTAAAATCATTGTGTCGATTTATCTTGATTGTTTGATTGAGATTGTTACTTACTGCTTAAAATTGATACATAATCACATATTAATATATAGGGGATTTCTAGATTTTTCACTGTCTAATAAATTCTCACCATTTACTCTCCCAAAAATGTTTTGAAACTCTAAAATATGAGAGCAGTAGGGGTGGCCCCACTCTATTACTGTGATGTTTTTGCTTTTTTTTTTTTTTTTTGTTATCCTTGTCACATCATTAAAGTTCTCTTTAAAATTTAAAATTTAAAATTTAGAACTCTTTATCATTATTGTTTACTCTCCCATATATATGTGGCACCTAGGATGTAGGGGTTCACCCTCTACCTATAGGATTCATTGTTTCTTGGTGGTACCACTTCATCGATATTATCGTTACATTGAAGTTTTACTCTATTTTCACAGCATTATAATTTTTTTCCCTTCTCCTTTTTGCCTTTTACTATGGCTAAGAGAGGAAAAGAAAATAAAACTGCCTCACAAGTCAAACTCAAATTTTAACATTACATATAGTTTAAAAATGCGCAAACCATAATGTTTTGTTTTTTAAATTCAAAAAATATGTTTTTTTGCGAATTTTTTATAATTCTGTAACTATTTTAAATTTTTTTAAAAAGAAAATGCTAAAAACAGTCATAAGAACTACTATTAATGCTGAAAAAAATATGTAAAAAATATATTGCAGTGTATTGAAATGTATAAAATTTTCTTGAGATATATAAAAATTCTACTGAGATTATAAATATTTTAATATTTTTTTCATCTTATTAACATTAGCAGGACCTTATTTAAAAAAATAAAATATTTGTGAAAAAAATTATAAAAATTAACTTTTTTATTTTTTATGATTTTTTTTTCAAATTTCTTCAGAAATATTTTACTGTTTTGATATATCTAAAAAGTAAAATAAATTAATTAAAATATTAGAAAAAACTAAAACAAAAAACAAAAGGCAAAAAACTCAAAAATAGTTTCCAAAAACTAAACCAAATCTCTATCTCCAAATTCTTTACCCATATCCTCAAACTCATTCCATGCCATTCAATTTCAATCTAACCTCAGCTTTAGCCTATAGTCAAGTATTCAAACTATTCCCTCTTGAGATTGTTCAAAGGAAAAATATACTGACAAAACATGTGTTTTGATATCTCCTTCATTGCATGGTATCTTCTTCTCTGATTATTTATTTATTTATTTATTTATTTTTGGTAATAGAAGGAGAGAGAGAGAAAGAGAGAGAGAGAGAGAGAGAGAGAGAGAGAGAATAACAGAGTCAACTGTTTGGCGAGGGTGACTGCCATATCCGAATAAGCTCAAGTGGGTGAGTGAGAGCGACGACCTTATCCATCTATCTTCTTGTGGGACACTACCCTACCCAACCCATATGCTAATCTATGTCAGGGAGATCATAAAATATTCTCATATTTGTATTTTTTAATCAATCATCATTCATTATATTATTTATATTTCTCAATCACTCGACATAATACTGTACTTACCTACATTCTCCCTCAACCATAATATTATAAATTATTACGTGTTTATATTCCGAAATTATTAAATAATTACGCATACCTATGTCCTCTCTCTCTCTAAAAGATCAATTTTTGTGAAGCAAAGATATGTCAAACATAGGTTGAAGAAGATGATGTAACAATATCCATTAATTTAAGGGGACACAACACATGTGGACCTGTGGTGGTGGTAGTGAGGGATTGAAGCTAGCAACTTGTCCACTTGGCAAACCCATGTGTGTGAAGCGTGAATGGAGAGGGTCTTGATCATTAAAAGACATAATTAATGTACAGAAATATATACAGATCATCATTGAAAAATACGTTGCTCGAATTCATTTATTTTGGACCTGTGGTGGTGGTAGTGAGGGATTGAAGCTGGCAACTTGTCCACTTGGCAAACCCATGTGTGTGGACAGTGAATGGAGAGGATCTTGATCATTGAAAGATATGTAAACATAATTCATGCACTGAAATATGTACAGATCATCATTCAAAAATACTTGCACGGATTCATTTATTTTGTTATATGTAACTTATACAATTTATTGAAGTTTTGGCACAACTTTTTCGTTCTTAAATTGCCCTGCAAATATCTCACATCTTTATTTTGAATTTTTATAAGATTTTTTTTAAAAGGAAAATTCGTCTACATGACTTTGTCAATCAGAAAAAATTAACCAATTGATTTTTATTGCACAATCATTGAGTATATTGAAAAATACTCTGTGGTTTATATTTAATTTTGTAGGATAAAGACCATAATTTGGATCACATTATCTATAGCATTATTTTATTTTTCAGAATCTGTTTTCTTAAAAATATGAAAAATGAATTAAGAAAAATAAAGATCAAAAAGATGTTTTTAATTTTTCTAAAGATTATTTTTGCGCACACAAAAAAAAATGATTTTGAATCTTTTATTTTTTCACCAAATTATTTTTTTATTTCAAAAAGCAAGTATTCTTGGAATATCATGTGACATTGACACTCTTTATATAATCTTTTCAACAAATGAAGAATGACAAAGACACTAATACAATGTTTGATTAACTTATTTTTCATAATTATTATTTTTAATTGAATCTCATTCCAAATACAACATAAATAAATCATTTCTAGTCCCCCTAACTATTTAACAATAAAATAAAATAATAATAATAATAATTAACATTATCTCGATTGTTAAAGTGAACAGAAATGAGTGAGACCTCTAAAATTAGAATCGTAAAAGGGCATTAATTTGTCATTTTTCCCCTCCTATTTTGTCTTTTACCTCCCTCTATTTTTTTTAAATTTTTTTTTTTTTTTTTTAAGGGTGACAGCTCATTAGAGCTGGTTTTGAGCCGCTCTAATTAGAGCTTTGTAGCAGAGTCCTAAAGTGAAAATAACTTCAAAGCACCAAACAAATCTTGGAACATGCTCAATTTAAGTTAGTGATGACTCGAGGCCTATAAATAGCAGAGACCGTTTGATTTTCTTGACAAACTGAGAACTTCACGTGCTCTCTCTGTTCTTCTTCGCCTCTCTGTCTCTCTGCTCTGCTTCTCTGTTACTGTCTACCTCTCTCTCTGTTTCTCGTGTGTGCAAAATCTTATCCATTTCACTTTTGTGTCTGTGTCTGTGTCGGTGGGTCGTTCAGAGAGATATACATCTATTAATAGAAAGGTAGTTAATATAGTTGGTGAATTGGTTGAGGAAAAAAGGAAATTGGTAAGTAAGATGGAGAACACAAAGCAAGTGAGTGGTGGTGGTTCATATTCATCTTCTTCGTCATTTACTTTGGATCTCTTTGGTCCCAAAGACCCCTCGTCATCTTCTTCATCCTCCACCGACATTTTTGGCTCTGTTTTTGGTCCACCCTCTACGGTAACTCCCATTCTACAACTCCTCTTTACATTTTGGATTTTATTGCTTTGAATATTTATGTGTTTTCTTTTGGATGAGGTTTCTAAATTCAAATATACTCGAAAAAATAATCTTCAAATTCTACTCTTTATTTTTTTTTCTTTTTTTTTAAGGGATATGATTCAAACATTAAAAGTTATTATTATTTAATGGATTTAGATTTATTTTTATAGATAATTTACTCAAAAATTACTTAAAAATAAATTATTGAGATCGACCAAGTAGAGTTAAGGTGGGTTGTAATAGCCTAAATTGGACCTTTTAAGAGCATCTGTATCAGCATAGTCAAAATAACAAAAATATAAAATATAACTAGTAAATCACAAAATTGTTCCTCCATTAGGCTCGACAATTTTTTTATAAATTAATTTTTTGTTAAATTTGCTACAGTACCTCAACAACTTTGTTGAGGCACTATTCATTAACTACATGATTTATTATTATTTTTTTTAGAGCAAAATTGGGCCAAAATCTTTAAACCAGTCGTCCACCTGGATATTCCCTGGATATCCCACTGGATGTCCCATGAGTGCCTGTAGCAGAAGAAGAAAAAATGCCAAAAATTAGTCTAACTGGTCGACCGGTCGGTCAACCGGCCAACAACAATTTTTTTTTTTTTTTGGCATTTTTGTATTTTTTAAGAATTATGTGGATGACACCACATCAATTTAATAAAAAAAAATAAAGAATAACTAATACAATAAGAAATTAATATTTTAATAAGATTGAGTTAAAATAGAGAGTTTGATACAATGAGTATTAAAAAGGTGACTAGCTAAAATAACAAAAATAGATCTTTAGTTATAATTTGACTCAAAATTTGTTGAGACTGAGATTGATATGGATGCTCTAATCCGCTAGAGAAAACCTCATCCATTTTTTAGACAATTTTCTCTCCGGTCTAGTACTTTGGGCCCACAATAGTATCCGTTAAGATAATCTATGTGTTCATCTTTTTATCTCTATCGGTAGATCATTCATAAAAATATTAAATTAATCTTATAATTTGGGTGTTTGGGAAGTTGTTGTTTTAGTTTTTGACTATTTTAGAGCATTCGCATCAGTATAGCCAAAATAACAAAAAGGTAAAATATAGCTAGTAAATCACAAAATTGTTCCTCCATTAGGCTCGACAATTTTTTTATAAATTAATTTTTTGTTAAATTTGCTACAGTACCTCAACAACTTTGTTGAGGCACTATTCATTAACTACATGATTTATTATTATTTTTTTTAGAGCAAAATTGGGCCAAAATCTTTAAACCAGTCGTCCACCCGGATATTCCCTGGATATCCCACTGGATGTCCCATGAGTGCCTATAGCAGAAGAAGAAAAAATGCCAAAAATTAGTCTAACTGGTCGACCGGTCGGTCAATCGGCCAACAACAATTTTTTTTTTTTTGGCATTTTTGTATTTTTTAAGAATTATGTGGATGACACCTCATCAATTTAATAAAAAAAATAAAGAATAACTAATACAATAAGAAATTAATATTTTAATAAGATTGAGTTAAAATAGAGAGTTTGATACAATGAGTATTAAAAAGATGACTAGCTAAAATAACAAAAATAGATCTTTAGTTATAATTTGACTCAAAATTTGTTGAGACTGAGACTGATATGGATGCTCTAATCCGCTAGAGAAAACCTCAACCATCTTTTAGACAATTTTCTCTCCGGTCTAGTACTTTGGGCCCACAATAGTATCCGTTAAGATAATCTATGTGTTCATCTTTTTATCTCTATCGGTAGATCATTCATAAAAATATTAAATTAATCTTATAATTGTAACTATAGGATGTCATCATTTTTTTAAATGATATTATTATTATTATATTTTTATTATTTTTAAAATTCCATCTATTTGTTTAATATAAATATGATAAAATCATGTCATTATATTTTTAAAATTCCATCTATTTGTTTATATAAATATGATAAGATCATGTCATTATAATTATCCCATTAATCTAATTAATTTTTGGAAAATTTGGGGTTGTGTGGGGTGTCCTAAATAAGTGCACTTTTTATCTTTTTGGACTAAAAAATTGAGGAAAAAAAGATGAATATTTGGGTTAACTTTTTGACTTTTTACGAAAAAATATGTATTAAAAAATTATGTAAATAAGTGTGTAGGAGAAAGTAATGAAGTAGCACGTACACTTTGGGCAGTGTAGTGGGCTGGTTAGGAGATGGAAAATGATTGCCTCTTTTTCGGGCTTGAATTGGACGGTGTTGTTCGGCCTGTGGGGGCCCACTATGAGTCCCGTTTTGCTAATCGGAACCGTTCAATGTGTAGAACCCGTCAAATACTATATGTTTGTACAAAATCACGTCAATTGGATATCGATAGCTATCTGATCGTGTTAGTTTTTTTGTCAACTGTTAACTATAACACCATCCATTTTTTATACAAAACTGATTTGATCATGTAGTTAACGATATCCGATCAACGTGATTTTTTATAAGTATTTAGTACTGAACGACTTCTACATATTTTACGGTTCAGATTATCAAAACAGAACCCGTGATGGGCCCCCACCGGCCCAACATTACCATCAAACTTAGTGAATATATGTATGTAGTTTTTTTTTGTTCCTTTTATTGTACTCTCCTTTCAGGTCAGTATCTAGAGTGGTGTAAAATTGGTTTGTATTAAAATATTATGTATATAATTTTTTTATATTTTTAATTTGTAAATAGTGATGACTTTTTGATTTTTTTTGTAACTTTTTGACTCTTTAGATTTTTTTAAACACCCCAATCCAGGCAGTCAAAATCTCTCCATTGAACCATTATTTGGTAAAAAAGGACAACCCAATTTATTTTTTTCATAAACCCCCTAAAGAGAAAACACATAATTGAATAAGAACATAAAATATCTTCTTCTTTTTTTTTTTCTTAGACAATATTGTCAGAGTAACTTGTTACTGTGAACCAGAGTAAGACAAAGTAAATAGAATAATTGTCAAATAGAGTAACATGTTACTGTTACTGTTTACATCAGTCAAAATCTCTCCATTGAACCATTATTTGATAAAAAAGGACAACCCAATTTATTTTTCTTCATAAACCCCCTAAAGAGAAAACACATAATTGAATAAGAACATAAAATATCTTCTTCTTTTTTTTTTTTCTTAGACAATATTGTCAGAGTAACTTGTTACTGTGAACCAGAGTAAGACAAAGTAAATAGAATAATTGTCAAATAGAGTAACATGTTACTGTTACTGTTTACATCAATTTCAATAGTAATAAAAAAAAAATTGTAATTTCATAGTCAACATGGATCTTATTTGATATATCTCGATGAGAGAATTCTAAAAATATTAATTTTATTAAAAACCAACATATACATCAAAAGTTATATTATTTTAAAGTTTAATATTTTGATAATAATAACATTTAGACTTTTTAAGAAAAAAAAATTTATACTTAATATTTTAAAATTTTATTATGATAAGATTTTAACCAAATCCCCTATTATTTTTCTACATTTTCTAAGTACATAAGATAAAAAAATGAAGGTTCAAATCATGTTAACAGATACTGTATGGGCCCAAAAAGCTGAATTGGACTCATCCAATCACAAGCCCAACTTAGGAGACGTTGCTCACATTTTTTTATACTATAATAACAGGGTTTTTAGTTTAGCCCTAAATTATTTATTCATAAATTTCTATTCACCTGCTTATATTCTACTTAATTCAAATTATTTTCTTATGTTTTAATAATTTATGAGTAATATAATTATCAAAATACCCCTAATTATAGTATGCGCATTAACAGTGTAAATGTTACATAATGTGAATATTATATGAATGTTCACATCACTAAATTGTAAAATGTTCAAAAAATACTTTAAATATAAGGATTAGGATTTTGTGGACCAAATATCCATATAATAGGACTTATTGAAATATAAAAATGTATTATGAATTAATTGGGATACAAGTAGTTAAAAAATGATTTTCTAATAAATCTCCCTTTAGTTTAAGGTCCTGATATTAAGATTTTATAAGATAAATGACATATACAATTTTCACAGTAGTTGGGGTCCAATATTTTCACAAGAGAAATTTTTAGTATTTCATAGAAAATTTTTCAACTTTTCACAGAGAAATTTCTCTAATAATATTATTGAAGGATCTTAACGAAAAAAAATATATATATATTAGACCTCTCCTATTACCCAAAGTTAAAGAGGGATGCTTCACTAATTTTTTCATAAATAAATTAGCACTTTCAACAAAATCTGATTTTAGTTCTTTTTCATTATTCCGTTTATCTGACGTTAATGACACTAACGGAAATTGACAAGTGTATCATTTTATGAAAGAAAAATGCTTGGGAGCACTAAAAAGGAATCACTAAAGGGAGCACTAATGATGTGGTAGTGGGTCCCGCCCACTTTCTATGCCTTGTTTTTATTTTTTTATTATTTTTTTTGTCATTTCCAATGTATTAGTGCTATTAGTGATGTATTTTTTAGTGGTCTAAATCATTGTTGTTTATGAAATTAGGTAGCAAGTTCTAAAGTGTTAATATTTTGTTCTGATTCTAGGGTTTAGGGAAGGATTCTTCTCACACTGGATTTATGGGGTCAATGAAAATGCAGGATTTTGCAAGTCAATATGGCATTGCCAAACATGGAACTCCAGGTTTGAGAAAAACTCATCAAACACCAATAAACACCTTCTATTTTTCTCACCAAATTATTTTTTTTTTAAAGTGTATATCTGGTCTATATTTCAGATAACATGAGTCAGAGAGGCAAAGGTGAAGCTTCAGTAGAGCCATGTTATTTCAGCTCATCAATATACTATGGTGGCCAAGAAGTTTACCCACCAACTACCCACACCACTGTTTCTCAGCATATTGTGAGTATAGATATAGCCCTTTTTACATTCACTAAAAGCAAATACATATTCAACACTTATAATAGAGATTAAATGACTACACTACATAACATCACTGATTTTTCAAACATTTTCATTACTTGATCAGTTCAAGAAAGATGGGAGAGATGATGACCCAAATGGAAGTAACTTGAATGGTGCTTCAAGAGGGAATTGGTGGCAGGGTATGATTGCTGACGATTTGTAGTAAGGCGTATTCTCTCAAGTTTTTTTTTTTACCAAATCCAAGTTCATTGTAATTTTAAACGTACTTGCCAACCACATGTTTTGTGAATTCATCATTAAACAAATCAGTTTGGGAAATAAGTTCAAAATTACTTGAATTTGGGAAATTAGATATATATGTATATATATATATATATTTTTTTTTTAAAAACGTGAATTTGGTAAATAACTCGTATTCTATTCTTGGGGTGGTTTTATTTTTATTTTTTTTGGCGCAATATTTGCTGATGTTTTCAAATATATGTTCTTTTCCTGCAGGGTCACTCTATTACTAAGTTTTGCCTTCGTGTCATGCCAAGTCCCAATCCACAGAGAAAGGTAATTTAGAGTCAACGATTTATATGGAGAATTTGTATTTATATTTTGCTAAAAAAAACACCGTTGCTCTAGAATTGATGCGTTCTTTTTGGCAATTTATTTATTTATTTATTTTTTTTTTAGGACAAAAGTTGATCATTATTTTTTGTCTAATGGCTCAATCAATTTGATAATTTGAAGCACAGTGTGGGCTCTTCAATGTTTTTTATGGTTCCTAAATTCAGTTAACTTGCAGAGGGTTGGTGATAAACTCTACAACTATCTTCACTATGTATGAGCACTGCAACTGTCTTCACTCTCTATAAAGCCTATAACTGCAACGACTCGCAAACTGTTGGGGTTTGTTTTCACTGTTTTTCTTTTCTTTTTTTTGAAAAAAAAATTGTCTGGGACTCTACTGGACAATACAGGCCAAGTCTTCTATATGAGCCAACAATCTGAGAAGTTTAGTATAATTTTTCAGTACTAGTTGTAGCTAACTTAAGTTATTTGTAATGGAACTGCTGTAGTTGTTTTTAGCTTTGGCTTGTGTTGTATGCATAGCTCCTTTGATGGTATATGTCCAAAACCTATTCATTCAGTTTGATTTAGGTTCTTTAGATGTCAATATGATTTCAATTTTGAGTTGGCAGGCTGGACTAGGTTTCCACACAAACAAACTGAATCCAAGCCATACACATATACTGAATCCATCATCGACGCAACAAGAAGCATCTCTTATTACAACGACAATTTTATTTTTAATCACAAAAGTTTGGATATGACAGTAACTTTATTAGCACGATACACTTGCTAGGATAACACAACTCTAGCAAGACTAACAACACACTGGTTACTCTGTATGCCATATCCACAAGAAGAGATGACTTCTAGTCTTCAGTCTTCAAGGTAAGGTATAAGCTGCAACACCCAATTCAGAATTAGAGTGTCAGTTTTCAAAAACAAAAAACAAAAAAGAACATTGCAAAGGTTGGAAAAGAAAAGATTGATCAGAAGTAAATGAATTGATAAACAAAAGTAGTAAATATCGAACCTCCACACTTATAACCAATAGGACGATCAGCAATGTTACAACGCTTGGAAATGGTCATGGCGACTTCAGGCTTGACACCGGAAATTTTAGCAGTGTTAGAAAGCATAACAGCGCAGAGGCAGGGAGGGTTCTGGTCCAATTTCTTCACCATAAGGCAGCAAGTACTGGAAGGCGTAGCATTCGCATCCATTGCTGCTGGTCCACATGGAGCCAATTTCAAAGCTTCTGCATCCGGGGAAGATTTTCCACACTCCCCAGCACCACCGACTCCATCGAAATTAGTAATGCCCAGAAACAAAAGAAATCCAAGAACACAAATGTACTTCATTGGAGCTTCCATCTCTACACTACAATGTATGATCACTTAGAACTCCATTGCTTTATACTGAAAACAAGACTAGCAAGTGGCTCACCCACAAAGTCATGGTGGAGGAAGCACTAGAGCAAATTTATTGTTTCTATTGTAGCACTTATTGGGGTTTATCTGGCCATTTTAGCCCAGTGAACAGTCAACACCTGCTAAAGTCATTAAACACATCATTCTATTTTCATTTTTGAAGATGCAAGGGGGGTTTTATGAACAACTTTCGGCTTGGCAGCAACAAGAATCCACCCTGAGATTTATGGAGCCTTAGGCGGGCTTTGAAAGTGGGCCTTCCTACGTATATTTTTTTATAAAAAAATTACGGATAAAATAATAAGTTACCAATAATTTTTTTATTATTTAGTAGCTACAAAAAGTTTCCTTACACATATAACTATTAAATTTTATTTTCATATATTAATATACGAAAAAAAAATCATTACAAAGACTTAAAAAAGATAAAATAGTGTCTTGTTATATTATAGTTTAGCAATAATCAACACAAACAATATAATTCATTGATATCTGATAACAAAATGATTAAATATTGTAATATGATATCTAATAACACAATCATAATTCACACAAATCACAATCCACTAATTATTTGATAACAAAACCCAAATTATTAGTAAAAAAATGGGAGAAAAAACTAAAGCAAAATTATTCAATTAAATTATTAGAAAGAGAGAGGGCAAAAAAATTAGGGCAAACAAAATTAAGGAAAAGAAATTAGAGTAAAATTATTCAATTATAATATGATAAAGAGAGATGGCAAAAAAATTAAGATAAAGTTATTTATTCTATTAAAATCTTGACATTAGATTCTATTTGTGCTCATTATATCATACATATTTGTTTGGACTAATTATATAAATTTTTAACTAGACCTAACAATGATTATATATATTTTTTTTTAATTTGGCCCAACTGATTTTTTTGAGCAGCCTTTTAGACAGGGTCCCAAACAATAAAAAAATAAAAAATAAATAAATAAATTGGGCTTTGAACTTTGAATATAATATAAAACTAATATATTTGGAGCCTTATTTTGGGTCAAAATTTGAAAGCCCTAAGCACAGGTCTTAGTGGCTCTAGCCCAAGGTTGGCCGTGCAAGAATCAAATATCAAAAACCTCTTGCTCTAGAATACCAATGCATTCTTTTTGACAATTCGGTTTTCTCATTTTGCTTAATTAATTTGAAGATTAGAAGCACAGTGTGGACTCTTTCTTTCGATGTTATTTTAGTATGCTTATTAGATGTAATAGCTATTAGTTGTTTGTAACAGAACTGCAATAGTTTTTAAGATTTGGATTGAATGCATAGCTCGGTTGAGGTGAAATGTAGATATTTTACTTTCTCTTTCTCTCTCTCAATGTGTTAAGTAAATACATAATTTCGAGAGTAATCAGATCAAAAAAAAAAATTTTAATTATTTGCGACGGAAGGTTGTCTTAATCAAAACCTATGGAAGTATTTGTGAGGGTAAGGTTATGGTGGCAAATAATCCTTGTTTATTGCAAAAAAATAAAAACTAAAATTCCGTCATAAAAATTTAACTATTTGCGATGGCATAATGTTACAGTCACGAAAGGGTGTGTAAAATAACCTCGTTTTATAAATTAATTGAATGTTTACGGCGGCATAATTTTGCCATCGCTAATAAACTTTAATTTTGAAATGAGCATAATCTACAAATGAGCTTCCTTGAATTTTGATGAATGATTAATCTAAGTTGTGATTTTTTCTCATTTTTTATTTTAGGAAGTGCCCTTTAACTGAATATATAAAATCGATTTGTAAGTAGCTTGAAATATGCATTTTGTATTTAGTTTGAAATGTGCAAGGAATGTGGAAAACTTTATGGTATATCTAATGGGTAAAATGATTAATTACAGCAGGGGCAATGCAATTTCAAAAATTATGAGGGAGGTTTGTGTAATTATCAGATACCTCAGGAAATGTACATGTAATTAGCCTTAATTTTTTTTTATGCAAACAGTTGTGTGGTAGAGATGGAAATGATTCCTTTCCATACCATTATCTTCCATATTCCTATATATTTCATTTTGTAAACATATTCTGAACTCACAATGACAATTAGAACCGTTCATCATGCACCGTTCATAAAAAAAAAAACAAACTGTTGATCATGCAGGTACTGAGAGAAACCTTCAAGTATACTGTGCCCTCAATGAGATCATCAATCTTGTGATCAAGGTATCAATATTTTTTGCCTTAGGTTCTTTAGATGTCCATATTATTTCAATTTCAAGTTAGCAGGTTGGACTTTGTTTCCACAGTATTGAGTGCTAACAATCAACACAATCTGAATGCAAACCATACACAATCCATCATCGATGCAACTGCAAACAATCTGATTACCACAGTAATTTGTTTATTAATCACGAGTCTGCACATGACAGTGACTTTATTAAGGTAGATATACTTGCTAGGATAACACAACTTTAATCACAAGGTTCGACACGACAGTAACTTTATTAAGGTAGATATACTTGCTAGGATAACACAACTTTAATCACAAGTTTCGACACATGACAGTGACTTTATTTAAGCTAGATGCACTTGCTAGGATAACACAACTTTAATCACAAGTTTGGACACGACAGTGACTTTATTAAGCTAGATACACTTGCTAGGATAACACAACTCTAGCAAGACTAACAATACACTGGTACTTTGTATGTCATATCCATGAGAAGATGACTTTGTGGTCTTCAGTCTTCAAGGTAAGGTATAAGCTGCAAGACACAATTCAGACTTTTAGGACTAAAAAAATAACAGCAAAGATCAGAAAAGAAATTATTGATCACAACACAGAACTAAATGAACTAATCAACAAAAGTAATGTGGTATCAAACCTCCACACTTATAACCAACAGGACGGTCAGCGAGGTTACAACGTTTGGGAATGGTCACAGCAATTTCCGGCTTGACACCAGAACTTTTAGCAGTGTCTGAAAGCATAACGGCGCAGAGGCAAGGGGGATTCTGGCCCATTTTCTTGACCTGAAGGCAGCAAGTATCAGAAGGTGTAGCTTTGTCATCCATTGCTGCTGATGCACAAGGAGCCAATTTCAAAGCTTCTGCATCCGGAGAAGATTTTCCACATTCGCCAGCCCCGTCGACTTGCTCAAACTCAGCAATGCCCAGAAGCAAAAGAAACCCGAGAACACAAATGTACTTCATTGGAGCTTCCATTTCCTCAATGTGATGTGTGTAGCTCAGATTCTTGCACTACAATGTATGAACACCTACAACACCATGGGCTTTTATACTGGAACAAGACTATACTGGAACAAGACAAGCAAGTGGTCTTTAGCCCAGGGTTGGCCGTGCAAGAATCAAATATCAAAAACCTCTTGCTCTAGAATACCGATGCATTCTTTTTGACAATTCGGTTTTCTCATTTTGCTTAATTAGTTTGAAGATTAGAAGCACAGTGTGGACTCTTTCTTTCGATGTTATTTTAGTATGCTTATTAGATGTAATAGCTATTAGTTGTTTGTAACAGAACTGCAATAGTTTTTAAGATTTGGATTGAATGCATAGCTCGGTTGAGGTGAAATGTAGATATTTTACTTTCTCTTTCTCTCTCTCAATGTGTTAAGTAAATACATAATTTCGAGAGTAATCAGATCAAAAAAAAAAATTTTAATTATTTGCGACGGAAGGTTGTCTTAATCAAAACAGTCATGGTGGAGAAAGCACTAGAACAAATTCATTGTTTCTATTGAAGCACTTAATCCATTAAATATAGGTATGGGAGTCATCTGGCTATTTTAAGCCAATGAACACTCGGCACCCAAGTCATCATTCACACTATTTTTTGTCCTCAAACATACAAAGGAAGCTTATTATGAACAACTGTCAGCTTGGCAGCAACAAGAATCAAAGATCACAAAGCTACCTCATACTCACTCTAGAAGTCTATATCTCACCAAACCCAACGAGTAGCTGCTTTTGATGAACCCATTTGAAAAATCATGTCCACTAAGGATCCTGCAACATTAGTCAACCCATTAGTAATATCGTATGAAGCATGGATACTCCGAAATGCTCCCCTACGCGTATCGGATACGGATATACGTCCGATACGGCGAGATACGTATACTAGTATCCCAATTTTTTTTTTTAAATCTTTTGAATTTCGGATACGTTTAGGATACGTGAGGATACTTCAAGGATACGCTTGGAATACTTTCGGGATAAGGAGGGGCAAAAAAATAATTTTAAAAACTTGTAATGGGGTCAATGTGTAAATTAACAAAAACAATCTATATAAAACGAAAAAAAATCAAACAAGCAAACCCTAGCTCTTAGCAACAACTCGAACAGTAGCAACTCAAACTCTCTATCGCGATTCGCGAACAGCAGCAACAAACCCTAGCTCTCAGTCTCTATCACGATTCACGAACAACAACTCTGAGTCGTCGTCATCGATCAAGGTTCGTCTTCTCTTGCTCTCACTCTCACTCTCATTCTCTCTCGCTCTCTCTCTTGCTCGCTCGCTCTCACTCTTTCACTTTTCTGTCAATGTCACTCAATCTCAATCCCTCTCTCACTTGATCTCACTCTCTCTCCCTTTCCCTCGACCTCTCTCTCCCTCTCGCTCAATCTCACTCTCTCTCCCTCTCACTATACTGACCCCTTTGAATTTCTTTTTTTTTTTTTAGCTAAGCTAAGCTACTAGTACCCACTTTTTATTTCCTCAAAAGACAACATCAAGGAGCCTTGTGAGGTATTTTTTTTTTTTTTTTATCATTGAAAGGGTAAATTTTTTTCTCCCTTAATTTGAATGGCATTATGGTTGTTATGGGTCTTTTGCTTTAGGTTTTATTTTTATACATACTACATTACTAAAAATTATAAAAATAATATTTTTTACAAACGTATCTCCGTCATGCCAGTATCTTAGTTTTTCAAATTTTGCCGTATCGCCGTCTCCTTATCATATCGTATCCGTATCTGTGCTTCCTAGGTAATATCAATTAAGCATAAAGCTTCGCTAGTAACAAAGCACAATCTCAAAGAGTTGAAAATGAAAATTGAGAATTGCATTAGTACTACCAAAAAATGTTTCATCAAGGGGCAGGGAAAGATCTAGGCGTTAAGTTGTCTGGCAAATTATGACAAACCATTTGTTAATATGAATTCTAAAGAGTCGGAGACAAAGACGAGTAAAAAAAAAAAACACAGTTACACGTAGAACTGATGAGAGTTGATATTTCTCCTATAATGCTGTCAATATTGAATTTTTCATTTTTTGCACCTTCATACTTCACAAGCAAAGATAATCTATCAAAGAATCTTACACTATAAAAGTTTTAGACATTTTGAATAAAAGGTACCTAGAGGAGGCCCAATCTTTGTTTGGTAGTAACTAGTAGAGGTGGGGCAAGCATCCACTTGATCCACCAAAACCAATTGACCTAAATCAATCCGTCACAGAATGGGCGGTTTCAATAGCCCGAGCGGACAAATGCGGATGCATTTTTCCCAATCTAAATTCGGACAGATGGCAAATGAGAGGTCACCTGACCTAATTCGATCCGCCAATACTTCTAAAAAAATGAAGTTATGCTTTTATACTATGTGTTAAAAGAGAATTTTTATTTAGTAATTATATTTGCTATTTATAAAATATGAAAGTTGAGATTTTATTTTTATTATAAAAAATGAAGAATTAAAAATTTTGTGTGAAAAATAGTAAATAATTATTGAAAAATAGTTCGAAAATATACCCAAAACAGTAAAGCCCAAACCGCCAAACCAATCCGTATCCACCTGCACGGCCTGCTCAATCTGCATCCGCCAGCACGGCCTGCTCACTCCGCATCTGCTAACTAGGTAAATAGACGCAGATTTATTTTTTTCCAATCCACTAAAGTTCGAACAGATGGTAGATGAGAAGCCACCCAACTCAACCCGATCCGCGAGCACCCCTAATAACCATGGTTCATAAGTGAAGCAGTTAATTATTTTTTTTCAAATTTTCTATTTTCAAACATAAAAACAACAGGGCAATTGGTGCCATTGGTTTGCCCAAGAAGAGACGCTGATGCTTGGAGCTCCCCAAATACAAAAATTGAAGTTCCTTTCTGTACCTTGCGGTTCAACACTGAAGGGACTTGTAAGTTCTATTCATTTTTCTACCTTCAAAGTTTTCTTTTCTTTTCATACTTTACAAAACATTGTTACAGATTCTTACCCTGACCACATAAACTCCCAAACTACGCAATCTCCTTGCTCTTAAACCTCAAAGTGGAAGCTCATCCTCATATCCAACAAATAGTACATCCCTCCATCTCTCACAGCTATGCATCATTACAAGTTGATTGTAATACTACAAAGCATAAGTACCTACGCATTGATATGTTCATGCCACAAATATACAAAGGCAACTTGGGTTGCAACAAGAGTTCTACATCACAATTTAGATATGATTTTATATCATAAATATATTGTGACAAATCAGGTCACAACAAGAATTCTACTTCACAATTTCCTTTTTCTTTTTTGCCTTTTTCTTTTTTACTACAAAATTTCGTGACTAATATAATATGATAGGGACATGTACATATAGAGCAATTTAAGGTACATTGTGGAGACGCCACGTGTCTACATGACCGCATTATGTATACCTTGAACAAGTCAATGCTAAGACACTTTCTGACTTGAGGATTTAATTAGCCACCTAACCATATGACTTCCCACATCCGAATTCGGAACCATAAAGTAGCTCCAAAACCACAATTATGGTCACACACCAAGCTCAAGGGACCCCCATGTCCTACAGCAACCCAGGCAGCCATCAATAGTAAGTGTGCAAGAGGACTTTTTGTGGATGTATTAGCAAAAATCTGGTTTGGGTCAAATCGACAGAAGTGATTCGATAGAGCAATTAAAATTTCACAAACAAACAACAGATCAAGCAATTATGATTGGTGTCCTATGACTTGACAGATTTAAAGACTTCTTTGGAGGTTGTAATGCGAAGAAACAAATGTGAATAAATTGAAAATCGATTGAAGAACAAGTAAATTTGTCACTTAACTACAAAAAATTAAATTACAAGTTCAGTGTGCATGACAATTGACAGAGGAAAATTTGGCCACAGAGGCTGAAATATAAACAGACTACTCCTAAATATAGAAGCTATTGCTAATTACGTTAAATTACTCCTAATTCCACATGAGTTGTGAGTTTGATTGGTGCCTTTCTCCTTCGAATTCCTAGCCTTTATGCTTCTGGCGCTGCTGCTTCTCGGCTGACACGTGTCCCACTATGGAGCAAGTTGCCCCCACTTCTTGTACAGCTGCCCATGATCTCCATAACCGCTTGCAATTGCCTCTTTGCTGCAGCCTCCTCTTTCTCTTGCAAATGAACCACGTGCCCCATATCACTGACATGCCTAACTTCATGGCCTGACTCATGGGCCACGTTTCGCCACATCCTACTACACTACCAGATGAATTGACAGAAGAAACTGCATTTGTCACTTCTGCTCTTTAAATGGCTTCAACTGCCACTTGCTCTGCATTTTGGGGTCCACCTTCCACTGTAAACTTATGGTTTTCACTCCTAGTATCTCTTGGATCAGCCCTCTGTATTTGTCATGTTTATTCGACAGAGAATATAAATTTTAGTGCCAACAATGTGTATCTCACCTCCCTCGAGGTCAAGATAGTTACTTCGCCTTTGACATCATCATGCCCTTTTCTGTCATGTACCAAGGCCTTCGAGCCGAGTTCGGATCCTCTCCTTGAGGGAGGTCCTTGAGTTCCTGCGGGCAACGGCTCAAATCAGCCGTTGGTCATCCAACGGCTGAGATTATTAAAAAAAAAAATTAAATTTTTTCGAGTTCCCGCCCAAACAAAACAACAACACAGCCTTACTGTCTCACTGTCTCACTCTCTCACTCTCTCAGTTTCACTGAGCCTTACAGTCGATCGTGGTCGTCCACCGAACCTACCCTCACCGGCGAACCGGCGACCAGTCCCAACGGCGACCCCACGACGACCACAGCTCCACCGCTTCAGCCTCTACGCTTTTAAAATACAACTCAAAATTCAAAATACAACTCAAAACTCTTTTCAAAACTCATAATCAAACAAATTTTCTCTTTTCAAAACTCAACTCAAAACACGACTTTACATTCAAATCATGATTCTAAAAATAATTTTAAAAAATGAAATAATTTTTTTTAAAATAGAATTTTGCGAAGTGTTTGATTTTAAATTTTGAAAAGAGTTTTGAATTGTATGCTTGGTTATAAAT